AAGGAGAAGGAGAAGGAGAAGGAGAAGGAGAAGGAGAAGGAGAAGGAGAAGGTGAAGGAGAAGGAGGGGAGGAGGAGGAGGAGGAGAAGGAGGGGAGGAGGAGGAGGAGGAGAAGGAGAAGGGAACCTGATGTGACAAGCCCAGTAGATCTTACCTCTTGTCACTGGCGTAGGGAGCTTTGCCTCCAAGGGCAACCCAAAATTCAGCTGGTTCCTGTCCCTCCAGAACAGTCTGTTTATCCCTCTTGGAGATGATATCAGCCACAGTCTTCGCCATTTCTCGCTCATCCCCACTGCATCCCTAACAGAAAACCCAGGTCAAGGTGGATTCCATCACTGCACCATCTTCCCAGAGCCCATACTCCTTTAAGGCAAGGTGGGCAACCAATCTTCCAAAGCCACTCCTAGCTCCCTACACCTCCTCTGGGTCCCAAGCTGCCGTAAAGGAATCCTCTGACCCTGAGAACCTGAGCAGATGTTTCTAAAACATTGCAGAAGAACAGCAGATGGACATTCTGCTTGTTGCTTCAAAATGGCTAGCTAGTTCCCCCGTTAATCACGAGAGAGTTAGAAAGAGCATCAGAGAAGGACCTGCTTAGCATCCTTGCTCGTAAGGGAGGCAGGAGATGGGGGAGCTAAAGTACACATTTCCAATTTCCAAAAAACCCAGTTGACTTGTTTCCTGCTAGAGGGTTTGACGCTTGCCTTCAACAACCACCACAAAAAATGGTAGTGGCACAGTTGCTTGACCTTCTGAGGTGGCCTGCAGACAAAACTGTAGCTTATCCTCTAAACGTGGCTTAAAGTAGCTTTCAGAGAATTCACCCAGCTCTTCCCCCATGCGAGGAAGACAGAAAATCCTGTATGACAAGTTCCCAGCCACTTCACATCATCAACCCAGTCACTAAGGCCCTCTGAGAAACATTGAGGACAAGCTCTGCCTGGTCAGAAGTTGCCCATCCTTGATTTAGGGGGTGTTGTGCTGATCAAATAGCACATTTGTCTTGGGTTGAGAGGGAATTGTCCTCAACTCAGAGGAGTGGAGTGGACAATGATTAAAACTGCTTTGTTTAGGTCAAGGATCTGATATGAGATATGCTTCTCCACAGACAGCCCCTTGCCTACAGAAAGCTAGTGCTTCAGGGAGGAGCGCTTTACTGGGCATGAGCCAGATGCCTTGAAAAACTCATTTTCCACATGTTTTTGATATTTTGCAGAGGGGCAGGAACAAATATCTGCATAGTTACTGGAAGCCCCACAAGATCCAACAATGAGATCAATTAACCTACAGCTTTACCAGCTTTAATAAGTTTGATGGATTTGCATCCTGTTGCATCTGGTATCATCCTGAAAAAGAGGAATTCCTTTTTTAACCTGACCAGGGGGAGAAAGGATATCTCTACGGCATGCAGATGTAGCGCTGTTATTAATTTACCTTCCCGCACCACAGGTAACACACTTGGTTGGTCTTGAGAAGGAAGACATCATTGGAATTGAGAGAAGAAGCTCGGGCTGGGACCTCAACCGTTTTGGTGTTGAATTCATCCGTACCTCTCACTTGGAAGAGCTGGACCGCTGGTTCAGGTTGGTCCTTCTGGCCATGGCTGGTGCCTCCCTAGAAAAGTCAATCAGTTGGTGAAACATGATGACCCAGAACCAAACATTACCAAGCACCAAATCAGAGATGTATGCCAGTTGGATTCCTTTTGGATGCTTCTCCACAACGAGATGGAAATGGGACTGGAGTAGATGAATTCCAGTCCGCAGGGCAAAGGAGGGTGAGCTTTTTCTTCCCAATAAAGCAAGCAGGGTTGGTCACCCTTTTCACAACAACAAACCAGCATCAGTACAATGCCAGGATAGGCCATCCAGATACTCTGGATAACAACATCCACCCAAGATGAAAAGAGAAGCAAAGAAAGACTAATCTTCTTAACAGGAAGGTCTTGCAAAGACAGTTTATACCTCATAAATGATCAAGTTTCCCTTGAAGATAGCGAGGAAATGTCGGGGTTCCTTCCCCATCGTCACTCGAACCTGGACTGGTTCATCCCCATATTTCTTGTCCAGTTCCACTGCATTGATAGCACAAGCCGTAGTTTCGTCCACCGAAGCATGGCGGCCCTAGGTGGGAAAAGATGAGATTGGAGCTCCCTCTTCCAAGATTCAAAGACAGTAGCAAAAATGGCCAAAGAATGAGGGACTGCTAGGACACAAGAGGAAGAATAGCCCTGCTGGATCAAGCCAAGGTCTACTGTTAACCAGCATTTTGTTTCTCCATCCAGATGCTGCTGGGGTGCTCACAAAGAGAAGATGAAGACCTACGCCATTTCTCCTGCTGTTCCTCTGTAACAGGCTGCCTCCAAGCTGGAGGTAACATGAAGTCTTCAAGACTGTCTTCTGTGAATTTATCTGATTGCCCTTTAATGCCATCCCATTAAGGGTTATCAACGTATCTTATGGTCCACAGATTAATGATGTGCTGTGTGAAGAGGTATTTTATTTTGCCTCTTCTAAATCTCCTTCCAATAAGAACTTAAGGGTAGCCTTGCTGGATCAGACCAAGTCACTCCTGGTCCAGCATTTTGTTTCTCATAGCGGCCATCCAGATGCCTTAAGATGCTGGGAGGCAGGAAGTGAAGACAGACATCTCCCCTTCCCACTACTGTTCCTCTGGTATCTGGAGATATCATGGAGCCTTCAACATTCATAGACCTCAATAGACCTGTCTTCCATGAAGGTATCCAATTCCATTTTAAAGCCATCCAATTACTAGCCAAATCTTGTGGTCCCGAACTCCACAGGTTGATTTTATGCTTTCTTTTGTCTGTTCTAAATCTCCCAAGTTTCATTGTATGACCCCTAATTGTGAGGTTTCAAAAGAAAAAGAAAAGCTTCGCCTTGTTCAGGCCATGCATGATTTTATACACCTCATCAGGGAAAGAAACAAGGGTATATTTTGGCAAAAAGAAGATAATTGTGCACCTTGGAACCAAGCATTAGCTAATTTGATTCTCCCAGTGCCTAGGGCTGTGCGATCTCAGGTTTAGGTTGGTTCTAAGATTGGTAACAAATCTCCTGAAAAATAGGAGGCTAACAAATCAATTGGGCTAGAGCCCTCCCACCAGTGGGGCTACCCAACATGACATCTAGTAATCTGGGTTTTTTTTACTTACAAGCCACATGTAGATAATGTAATGAGGTCGGCCTGACTTCGTGTAGGTGTACAAGACAAGGTAACAGTCACCCCCATAAAACTGGCCATAGGTCTTGGGATTAACTGGAACCATCTCCCGATTCTCAATCCGCCATACCTAAAAAGGAAACCCAGATGCAGCATTCACACAACATGTGTAGCCCTAATCCCAAGACAACCAAACTCAATGGCAAGGCCTAGAATGCAACCTGTGCCCAAACTAAGAGGCCCCATGTTGGCAGAATGGTTTGACTTGGTCATCCGAAGGCGAAACCCCTCTGGGCTTCCAATCCCAGGGCAGCCTAATTTCTCTGCTGGTGGGAATCCAACCAGAAACTTGGTTGGGAAGAATGGGAGTTATGGTCCACCACATCTGGCAGACACCAGGTTGGGGACTGTTAGGCCCAATTACTGGGAATATTCGTTTTCCAGTGTGAATCTTATGGCTCCAAAATTTGCCTTATTGATTGATTGATTGATTGATTGATTGATTGTGCTTTGATGCTGCTTCAGCCATTCCACTTTAGGCAGCTTACAAGCAGCAGTGTAGGAAAGCAGAATGCAATAATAAAAATATCAATATATCAAACAGCAAAATACAACCAACGGTTATACAGTAGCATTACAATGATAGAACCGTATCATATCAAAGCACAGAAGTTCATCACAGACTCAGAGATTCCTCTAGCCCAGTGCTTCTCAACCTCAGCTACTTTAAGATGTGTGGACTTCAACTCCCAGAATTGCCCAGCCAGCATGCTGGCTGGG